TGGACCCAAAGTATAACGAAAATTATTTTTTCTCAAAGTACAAGGGTATATTTGGCCCTTTGCCGTAAAAAGAAAATTTTTATGAAGATAGGCTTACGAAAATTTGGTTATGGTATCATGTGAAAGATATTTGAATATTTAACTAATAAAAATCTTATACAACCAGTGAAATAGCACACATTACTATCATAAACCTTTTCCAAAACGGTTACGAACAATTAAGATTTAAGATAGAATTAAATGTCAGAATTAGTGTATAAACAATTGATGCTCCCTATGACAAGAGGTGGTCATAATTTTATTGATCATCTTGTACATGCTAGTTAGCTGTGTTCATGTTTAGTTAGTTGATATACTTATGTTTATCGAATATATGTCGTGGTTTGGTTTACTTGGGGCATGTATTGAACAGGGTTATTAATGTTTTCCATGTGAATTGGTGATTAAGGATGCAGCAAAATGAGAAGCAGTACTTTAAAACACAGAAAATGGATCGGATAAGGTAGAAAATGTGACAAATGTGAGAGGAACAGCTAGTAGATGCACATAGCAATAATCTTATTTGGTATTTAAACTTCAGAATCTAATCAATGCATTTTCGGAAAGACAAAGAGAGAAAAGAGGATAGATGCTAGATAGATTTGCGAAGTGGAAAAAACATTAGAGGTATAGAATCCTAGCTAGTCATACCAAAATAACGTCATGACCTGTTGCTTTGCCCCCAAAGTTACAAGCATTATTTTTTCAACTATGACTTTCCAGGTGCTTTACCCTTCTGTCACTAGTAATACTAGTTACAACACAATGCTGACAAAGGAATGACTGAGCAAGCTACAGATGCCAATAGAGAGTAACCAATGCTGTCTATGTGATGATGCTAGGGAATGAACTCTGATTCATCTACTGGCCGATCAATATAGCATGTATGAGTAGTGAAGAAGTATAGAGCACTTTAGTTGGTTGTTGACCAAGGAAAAGTATGGAAGAAAGATGCACAAACTAAAAAGGCTAAAGAAAAGGACACTCCACTATTCTGAAAAAGACCGCTATGCACCTTGACGTTTGATTTTTCGTTCTTTCTGCTGCAACTGCTGTTTAGCTATATTCGTTTCCTTTTCTTAGTCCCCATCAGGAAATTGAATATAGATGGATAACAGGTTTAGAAGGGAAAATGGAAAATTAGGAGTGGCAAACGGAGGGGTCGGGCCGGATATGGTTTGGGTCGAAAACGAGTAATAAAAAAACTGATAAATTATCCGACCCGACCCATATTTAATACGGATAAAAACGGGTTAAAACCGGCGGATAATATGGGTAATTATATTATCCATGACTTCTTGAATATGATCACTTTTGGGAAAATTTATATTCTCTCAAATTTGAGGAACCCCAATTAAACGTTTTACAAATATAGCTAACAAGCAGGATAATCTTTGGGTGAAATGGGTCAACCACTTATACATAAAAAGCCAACCATGGTGGCAATACTCCCCACCGACTGATAGTTGCTGGTACTGGAAGAAAATTTGTTCTGTCAACGACAAATTTGATGATGGTTTTGTTAATAATGGATGGCTAACACAAGGGGGCAAATACTCTGTGAGAAGTGGATACCAATGGTGCAAAGGAGAAGCAGAGGAATAACCATGGTATCGAGGAGTATGGAGTCGGATGAATGTGCCTAAACATAGCTTCACTAGCTGGCTTGCCATGCATAGGAAGCTACTTACGAAGGAAAGACTGCTAAGATTGAAAATAAGCCCAGACAATTGGTGTGTGATATGCGGAAGTCAAGCAGAAATAGTGGAACACTTATTCTTTGAATCCAAACTCTTAGAGAAATGCCTACAAATGATGCTGGAGTGGATGCAAAAAGGGACAATAAAACACGATCTAAAGGGGATATGAAAACGATCAATAAGAGGTATCAATAGGAAGAAATGTAGGGAGTTCATTACAGCAGTGATTACAGCGCTAATATACAAGATATGGTGGACAAGAAATGAAGCATTATGGAATCAAAGAGTGCCTACACCGAGAAGCATATGTGCATAGATACAACATGAATGTAAGGCTAAAGTAGTGCATTTACTAAAGAAGAAATGTAGTAGGAGGGAAAGGAAATGGATAGATCAATTGTATAGGAAACAATGATAGAAGAACTAAAGGAAATAGACATAGAAAGATAGAAAGAGAGGTGGAGAAGTCAGGGGCACTGGTATGCCGAGGCAAGACATTGTAAAGTTATTTTTTTAATTGAAAATAAAAGCTTTCTATTTTACCAAAAAAAAATATAAAAGTTAAACTTATTGGTTACCTATTTTCTAAATGAATAATATGGTCCTTATTTATATTTGATCCGTTTTTAAAAAGCTCATTATCCAACCTATTTTTTAGTGGATAATATGAGTGATTAAATATTTTCTTTTAACCATTTTGTCATCGGAAAACTGGTCCGGCAGAAGCATACAGAAAAAGGGGGTCAGCTAATGCCTGTGGTGGATCAAAGGAAGACATTAGATTCAATTCACGAAGGAAGTGGTAACTGCAATATGGGGGCACTAATATACCACCCATGGAAAGCAAGGAATTTGAAGCAATTTAAGGGAGAAACTGTAAATAAAGAGTTAGTCGTAGCACAGATTCAACAGGAAATTAATAAAGGGAAGGATAGATCACTTGAAATGTTCAAAGAAAGCTCGTAAGAGTACTTTTCTGATTCAGAAATTTTGTAACTAGTATGATCTGTTGGAGGCTTGAAAAATGCTAACACCCTTCGTAGAAGGCGGTTACATGCATGTTCTAAGTGCTCTTTAGGTATATTATTTTTGGTTGTCAATGGTAATACATTCACAGTTTATTACCCTTCTACTTTTCGTCTTAGAGCTTGGAATTCTACTTGTTTCCATATTATGATGATGTGACACTAGAAATGAACTATCCAATCTGGATAACAGCGAAAGAGAAATGTTAACTTAGACAACACTGGAGTTACGTTTTAGAACCTCAAATAGATAATGCTGAGATGGAGATGCATTCCCAAATCTCTTATATTGGCCAAATAATTAAACACACTGTCGATGTCGAGATTGAACCTCTCTGTCCAAGCAATAATAATAGGTCGTTGATGCGAGCTTAGCTTCTTGTGGAATTGTTTCGGTGAGAAAGAAGGTGGTGGTTAAAGGCTGTCAAGTCATTCTCCAAAGTTACAAACAATCCTTTTTTTTTTAATTAAAGCATGAAGGAGGAGACATAAAACCTAACCTCCTCAGAATATGAATAAGAGTTGGATATGCCCAACTCTTTACAGTAAGCTTGCAAAAAATCGATGCTATAAAATGTAAAACAAGGTGGAGAGTATACAATAATTAAACAGCAAAAAAGCTCTCTCCATAAAGCATGTTAATGCAACACCTAGGACAAAAATCAAAAACATAGTTAACTTAGTAATGTAAGTTAACCTCTCCGCGACCCTATTAGCAATGTAAGTTACATACAATCTTACTAACTGATCCGGGCATCACTAAATGAACTTTCTGATGGTATCAATTTAGTGAGAAATTTTTTAGGAAACTTAAACCTAGCTAGCTAATAAAAACCTCCCCCATTAATCGCCAAGCTTTATTGTGTATGTTTCATCCTTCTATATTGGCGTTAACATGACAAAACCAAACTCCTCCTCATTAATTAGGAAATCTCTTCACTGCAAAAGCTTTAGGAAAATGAAGTTTAAATATTGGAATAATATATAGAGGGCATTTATGAACTTAATTATAAGTTGAATGTTCGCACTTAATTTGAACATAAATTAAAATCTTCGTATTCCTTATCTAACTGTTAATTATAATTAAATACGTAAATATGGCATTGGATTAACTAGGGATGTGTGGGAAAACCAAATCTGCAGTAGTTATGTAGACTCTCTGTGTTATAGACTAAACATTGTCGTAATGAAATTTTATGCTGAAATTATTTTTCCTCATGCGTCCTAAAAAATGACCCCTAGAACAAGTACTAAAATCCTAGCAACATCAAAGACACAAGGAGATCCATCGAATCTAATAAACTTAGAATTTGAGAAGTGAATATCTCAAAGGTAGATGAAAGCGTATAAGCATAAAACTATTCTCTGGTGGCAGACGAAAAGTAAGAAGAAGAAAAAAATGATAATTGGAGATATTTATAAAACATCTAACTATATCTTATATATTTATATTGTAAAATTTGCTTATATTATCAATATAATTTAATACAAGGTTATAGCAGCCTATTACTCTCTTTCTCAAGTTCATAATTCATAGGAACGTATAGTTGATTCTTATAAAGTTTACCTTCTATATAGTATATTTATAAACAGTTAAAAGAATTTTTATACTTAAAAACCAAACACTGTTTATAATATATATAGAAGATGAACGCATTTAGCCATTACAAAACCTCAGATTGCTTGAAAGTTAAAATAATGGTTTCATTCATGAGATCTATATGAATTTCGTCCCCCTTCACTACTATTAATTTGTTTAGTACACAGTAGTATACAATCCTGCCAAAACGTAATCAAGAAAGTTCTTGAGGTCAATGACATCGTTACCACCTACCACAGACGTTATAATTTTCAAAAGAAAAGGAGTAGAAAACAAAAACAAAAGAAAGCCAAAATCTATAGCATAAATTACGTTGCAAAGCTTGAGGAATTAAATAAATCATTAAAAATTATGTAAGCTTCTTAAATCAAAAAAAATAAAATAAAAATAAAGGAAAAGAAGGATTTGTGTGTATGTTTCAAATCAATAAATGCATTCACATGTATCTTTCACATAAATTTTATCACTTAATTATAATTAATTAATTTACAATTTTTTTTTATCTCAATATAATACTTAACCACGATAAAGATAATTTAGTTTGATATATATATATATATGAAGTGCGAGATTTTTTTCTTAAAGATACAACTGGTATTTCAAGATAATAGAACAACAACTTACAGCTGGGACCAGATTAGACTTGTCATTGGAGAACAACAGAATAACGAAACTGAAAATGGTCCATATCTAGCTAGACTAGAAACCATAGTCTACGATGTACATAGTTAAACTGCAAACTACAAACCCGAAATTCCTGCGCGCACTAAATTTAAAATAGAAGCCTATAACAACATGATTATAAAAGAAAAAGGTGATAGATAGAGTTGGTGGAGGGGGAAAAGATAATATGCATATGCTTAATTCCCTCTGTCCCTTTCATGCCATTAGGTGGACAAAACATTTAAAAAAAGGACGATTTAGAGAATTCGTCTGCGGTAGTAATTCCTTTGAGTTCTTCAAAGCTTTTGATAATATCTTCAGTCATGAAATTGTTAGGAATCAGAATAACTTTCTCCTCCTCTTCATTGCCTGCTTTCTTCTCCTCTACCACCATTTCGTTCTTGTTTGGGGTTGCGCTCTCGATTTCGAACACAGGTGGCGTATTTGGGCTAATTGGACTGGAACCGGAGCCATTAGATGAAGATGAATTGAAGCTTAAGGATCGCCTAGGAACAATGTTTATGCCTTTTGGAAGCTTCTTGGATTTGGGTTTGGAATTGGTGCTGTCGGAGAGAGAGCAGCGGTTAGCCGGGGGAGGATGATTGTGTTCACCTGAATAGGCGACGATAAAAAGGTTTGGATCCCTTAGGCTTTTCTCAATGTGTTTCCTCGCGTCGCAGTCTTTTGAAGTGCTACACCTATAGTAGTTCCTGTCATGTCATATACACAAGAGAATAATAAGCATATCATTAATTAATAATGCAACTTTTTTTTTTTATTATCACGGAAATTCAGAATTCATGAATGGGACTTTTTAGTGTAACTGCTGAAAAACAAAACCTCGGAAATGGAGACCCTTTGATTGGCTTCTGACCATATTTACGCCATGCCCATGTAAAATCAATGAGTTCCTCTTGTCTCACTTCATGGACTGTCTTTTCTGGCTGATTTTTCCTGTGACGACAATAAAAATTTCATTTTTTTTTCCAATAGGAAAGAAAAAAGACACATAAAAAGAGAGTTAACCATGATATATATACCTTCTTCGAATTTGGATGATAGGATTTCTAATGGGGACAGTGATAGTAGGACGAACTTTAGCCCGCTTCAGAACTGGACGTAGATTCTGCTGCTGCGGAATCACTTGCTGCGGTGCTGCTTCTGCTGCTACTGCTGCCGCCGCCGCTGGTGGTGGTGGTGGAGGAATTGGTTGGGTCTGCTGAGCTGGTAATTGAATGGGCTGTAACAGCGGCTGTTGGTCATTTTGGACATTCTTGACCTCATCAGCAATAGGAGGAATAACACTGATAAAAGAAGGTTGAGGCGCATCAGGTTTTTGGTCATCCCTAGAGAATATATCAGCTAACCCTTCGAAAGTCATGATGTCGTCATCACGGTCATCATCTAAAAGACTATGGAAAAAATTCCAATCATCGTCTTTTTCAAAAGTCAGAGACTCTAAGCCTAAACTGGGAACTTCTACCTTGTTGGTGTCATGACTAGGTCTAATGTTGCAGCTTCTTACAACCGCACCTAGATCCCAATTGTTGTCACCCATTTTCAGCTCTATATAAAATATATAGCTGGCTACAGAGAAAATGGGGCAAAATGGATGATAGGTAGGGGCAAGAAATCTAAAGTTAAAAGCGAGGAAATGTTAAAAAACCTAAATTTTAGCTATGTCTCTATCATGGTTTTCATGTGTGTGTGTGTGTTGTGTATGTTACAGAAGAGAGTGGGGAAGAAGGGACCCAAGGGACAGCGCTGACTTTTGGAGAACATAAGCTTATATAAAAATGGAGAAAAAAACTAAGTTAAAAAGGGCATTTGAGTCAGTGGGTAGGGAATTAGGACCAAATAGGGATGGATGAAGAAACTGACCAGGATTTGTTTATTATATATAGGGGAACTCAAGGGGGGTTACCTACCCACCCAACACGTCCACTTCTGCTTAGCATTTAAAGCACAGCAAGTGTTTTTTTCTCTTTTTTACTTCT